TGACCTTGACCTCTTATGATTTGACGATTGTGGCTCTTGTCATGTGGTTTAGGGTTGGTTCGAACATACACGGATATGACAGTCAGACGACCTATGGTTTCACTCAACCCTATAAAGCACTGTCTGCATGTGACTATTTCAAAGTAAACTTGATAAGATAGCAACGACACTGAAATAACCCGACCATTTTCACCTAATATATCAGTTTTGTGAAGTTAAAATTGATCAGCCGTGTACATCAACCATTATGGTGCTCGGTTTGTAGGAAGCCGGCATCAAACGAGCAAGCAGCTTTGAGAAACTGAATTTTCTTTGCTATTATCATATTTGTCGAAACACAGTGAAATTCTTGTTCGTCCATTATCAAGTCCAGTAAAATGTATGCTTCATGCATCCTGAGAGGTGGATACTCAGTAGCTACGCAGCCAAAGTAGAAACAATTAAGTAAGCACGATTGCATCAGAATTGTAGAAAGCAAGGACAAAACGAAACAATTATCACAATATGGTTGAAACAATTATTTCCCGAAATGAACTTGAACAAGGAACACAACACTGCTAGCGAGAACGATTTAATTCCGGAATCATTTCGCTGCATCTAAACTGGTGCTTACTGCAGAAAAAAAGTTTATATATCACAGGTCATGACAATATAACATAGTATCAGTTCATTCTTCCACTTACGTAGTCACCAGGGCAACGCCAGACTGGTATAGACCTCCTTCTGCTGACGCAGTAGGGACTTTCGGTACTTGATTGCTATGGCCTCTGAAAATCTCAACAGTCGTCCATTCGGGGTTGTGTAAACAATCCGAAACGAAGTCCCACGATCAGCTTGGTGGCCAGTCTGCAGAAAATGGCGAGCAATTAATGACGAAGGTGCTCTGTGAGACTCGCGTTCTACCCAGACCTTTATGTGTTCAGCCACTCGGGTACGCATCTGCCTTTCTATTCTGCCCACGTAGGTAGCACCACGTCCCACATTGAAATTCATAGATTACATCCGATCTGGCGGACAGAGGGAGCGGTGATTTCACCAAAGGCTTCGAAATCCGGGTTTGTTGAGAAGCGAACGACCGGATTTGCAGAAAAGTACGTGCCAGCTACAGTGACCACCAGCCGTCTTCGTATGATTTGGCCTACATCATCACCTTTGACAGGGAGTCGAATGGTGAAGTCACATTTTGGAACTATCATCTCCGAGGGTTTGGGTTCGGATTTTTCGCTGTATAATTGTATGAACTTTGCTGGGTAGCCATGATATGAATGAGTTTAATTCAGAAGCGACGCACTCTGAATTAACAAGAAATGGGACAAGACAAGGCATCACAAAAGAGTGATAGGCGGTTGTGCGGGGAAACATAGCGTTATATCGGGATCGGGTGGAAGAACAGAAAGCACACATTTTATAAGATCTACGGACACGAAGGGTTGTTTATTTTACCTTTTGGATAACGAGTAATACCGGATTGCATGTGGTGGAACGATGAAGTGACAGATGATTTCACGGGATATCTCGTTACTCTAATAAAGATGTGTTAAATGTAGGCAGTAAAGTGTAAAATATTTCTTGAGGACTCCCGGGGAAGATGAGTGGAGACCCGTAAAGTCAAAGAGGTAAAATATAAAGAATAAGAAAACGGAGGATCAGAAAGCCCGGAATGGACAGAGAATTCTAATCTTCTGAACTTCTCAAATACCAAAACCACTTGGTCAAACCAACATAAATTGAGGTTTACTAACAGAACGAGATATCTAACATATATATTTATATATAACATGCATAAAAATAACGTGATCTCGCAACAGAGGCTTACTTTCAATTGTATTCAAAGAGACAAGGAATAAGACTGCGTCCAATTTAATTCAACAAGCAGGGACAAAAAGGTGATTTCAGCTAAAGCATACAGTCTATGGCCAAAACCATTTCACTACTGATCATTGTGCTTTACTTTCGGTTTTCACAATAAAGACCTATATGCAACCATACGGTAGGCAAGTATGACCTACAATAATTGCTTTCGATAAGGAATTCTATGGTAATGGGATATTCATGCGTGCTCTGATTGCACCATTTCAAATTCCCAGTTGCTTCTACAACCCTTTGCAACGGATCAAATCAGAGTGCCTAAAGAACCGGGGTGCGTCAAAATTAATTTACACTGTATAACAAATTTTAACTTCCATTTTTCTTGAGTATACTTTTGTACAGGCCATTTCTCCGAACATCAACCGCGACGAAAGAAATTGTGATAATCCAATGCTCTGAGATAACACTAAAGCTATCTGATGGACCTTCAGGATAACATATTATTAGCAAACAGTCTGGGGAAATCCAAAGTCATTCGGTTCGAACAAGAGCCCTGTGACGAGAAGAACACGAGCGGCGATTGATTAACACCTGTTTAGTCGAAACATAATGACTACTTCTGTGAACTTTCCGACACCATGGTTATTACCGGTTTTATAACCGTTGTGGTTCCGATTTCTTATTCGCATCTGTTTCGTTTACTGAAGAAATACTGCCTGGTAAAATACGGAAATAGGAAGGGATGGCTGCTGTGGCAGGACTGGAACTCGCGAAATCCAGGTTTCTCACCACCGCGGATCACTTGATAATAAGCAACATCCGTCACTTCACGTAATCAATCTCAGTTTTGTTTGCGCCATTCAAGGTAAATTTTACTAACAGAAATGTTATCAGTTTGAGGCTTTTCATCAAACTAAATCAAATTCTTATTTGTGCTGGTGAGCTATACAGCTTTTCATGGGCACGTGTGAAGCAGACTGTGTAATCTCGAACAAATACGTGACGCTTGTGTTCTATCAACCCAACGCGTTTCTGGTTTCATGCAATACAGCCCATGTTCAGATAAAAATCAAACTGATATTGATTATTTTCATCTAGATTGGAGCACAACATGCATTAAAAGCGTGCAGCAACGTTTTCAGACCATAAGATGTCTTCTCTTAGTCTTCAGATGAGGCAGAATGTCATGCCCAAATATCCGGTTTCCATATTGTTACGCGCTACTAACCGTCTTACTCCGAAATCTCGTATACTTGGGGAAAAATCCCCAACCGTTCTTCAGAGATTTGGCTTGGAGCTGAGTGCTCTCAAGCAGCCAATACGAGTTCCCGAAAATTTTGGTTAATCACGGGAGGTTAACAAATGAGTGACAGATGTCAGCTGATCATCACTTATGTTTTCGACTAATGAAGCGTTGCAGTGCAGTATTCATCACTGAAGCCGTATGAAGGAAAAGGACTAACTTAGTCTGATTCACTCTTTTGCTTACCAACCAAATCATAATTCCTGGATCCACGCTTACCCCAAATTCGACCATTTGCACAAATGCTCAAACCGGATGCGATATTGATCTTGATTTAAAAGTTTCGAATATGTAAAGATCGAATTTGAAAAATAGCCGTAGCTTGGACAATAAGAGTATCCGAAAAATCAAAATTCAATCTTATCAGTGCTTGCTATTTTTTGAACGATATTGATGTTCTAAATGAATCACGTGTATTATTATTTTTATTCATCCGTAATGACTTTGATTTGTCCATACCGACAACACTCCCGGAGTTCTGTTTCTGAACACTGCGCTCTGCGTGGTATTGGATAAATCGAACCTGATAATAGAACGAGGAATACCGATTTCAGTCGCAGGGAATTAGGCGATCGCGGTAGCACACGTAAACTAACGCAAGTGTTCCAGCTTCGTAGATTGCGGTCTTCGGAGTATGGATGTTACCAGATAGGCTCCCTCTGTGGTAGTTCTTTCTGAGGCAGGTAGAGGTTGGAAAAAGTTAAAAACCCTTGTCCAACACAAGAGAGTGAAAGGCTTAACCAGGTAACTTGATTACACAGATTATCTTAGACATTCTGGCTGCGAATACCATAATCAACCTATTCACGGCTTGAAGAAACTGAATAATATACCTAATGCTTTGACAACGGCCTTAGGCCGACCTTTTTCATTCTGTTTGCCTCTAGTTTACATGTTTTGCACAGCTTAGCTTTCCTACGGATGTGTGCTTTCCATGCTTTCTCTCATCTAATTTTTCATTGATCGATCAATTGGGTAGCAAAGTGATAGCCACTAAAATATCGTCAGAAAAGTGCAACGTTATTAGCCGTTTAAACTGCAATGGAAGCTAACACCACCGATTGCGCCGTGTTCTTGTTTTACTGAATGTCAACCGCACGCACATACGCACACTGACACTGGTGTCTCGTTCGGTTTAGCGTACCAACACAGTGTTTTGCCCGTTATTATTACCTCTCCGTATTTTTATCCTCTCATCTGGGAGACATCTTTGACTCAATGCAATTGTTTCTCGAATTGATAAGCACTGGCTGAGTTTTGTATGGCTGTATCAACACAATAGTTTGACGGTAAAAGCTGGTATGATAGAGTCGGGGGACGGGAGCACCAATGAGCTAAAGTTGTGGAGCGAGCAACCACAAAGGAGACAAAGCTGTCGCAAAGCAAGCTGCTTTTTTTTGATTGAAAGATTGTTGTGATACGACACAACCATGTGGTAGTTGGGGTTTGAACACTCCTGCAAAGACTGGCCACTGATTTTTCATGGTCGAATACTAATAAGGAACTGTGGTTTCCTTTTCCATTGCTTTTAAACTTTGGAATGTCTACACAGAACTTGGTTAAGTGAGTTCAGGTTTCCATTGGTCAACATTTCAAATCGTCTATTGATGGTCGAGCGGTCGAAACAGATGCTGCCCTTCTTCATGTTAAGTGTTGTGTTGGCATTCATACAATCATATCCTAGTGAGCATGAGGTCTTCACTCATGTGACCACGTATGTTAGCGAATCACGATTTTCGCATGCACCTTATCAGCCTATCTGAACTTGGGTAACAAGCACACATACACAGACATACGTACATGTATGTGTCAGTTCTACGCACATTTGTTAGATAAGCCTGTGTTAAATCTTCACAAAAATTCAGCACATCTTGGTATCTAGTTATTCATGCCAGCTATCGGTATTGATCTTGGAACTACCTACTCTTGTATTGGATACCTACAAGATGATGAAGTCCAGTTCATTCCGGATTTACATCTGAAGCAAATACCGAGCTGTATTGCTTTTTCCAAATGTGGAATTTTAGTTGGTTCTCGTGCTTTAAGCGAGATTCAAATCAATCCGAAATGTACCGTATATCACTTCAAACGTATGATTGGTTGCGAATTTTCCGATCCGTCTGTGCAATCTCGGCGTAAATTGTGGTCTTATGAGGTAGTGCGTGACAATGGCAAACCAAAGGTGCTTGTGGACTCGGGGGATGTGAAAGAAGTGTGGTCTGTGGAAACTTTGTTCGGGATTCTGTTACGTCATTTGAAACAGATCAGTGAAAGGCATCTGAGGGAACAAGTGACTCAAGCTGTGATCACTGTACCGGCCATGTTTAGCATGGCTCAACGTGAAGCAACAAAATCAGCTGCGGAAGAAGCCGGCTTGGAAGTTCTCGGTCTATTGAACGAGCCGACCGCGGCCGCTATTGCCTACGGGACAAATCTTAATCGCGAAGATCAGTGTGTGCTTGTGTTCGATCTGGGTGGCGGAACATGTGATGTGACTGTGGTTCAGTACAGAAACCAGGAACTGGTAGTCAGAGCCACGTGTGGTGATGTGCATCTCGGTGGTGAGGATTTCGATCAAAGTTTGGTCGAGTATTGTTGTCAAAAATTTCACACATTGCACGGGAAAAATATTGCGAACGATAAAGTTGCAATGCTTTGCCTCCGGGAAAAATGTGAACTTGCAAAAATAGAGCTGAGCACACAGTCAGTGACACAAATTAACGTGCCGTATATTGTTGACCATCTGAATCTTGAACTGTCAATCACTAGGGAAACATTTGAAGCATTGAATGTGGAAAATTTTGCCAAAACACTGAATTTGGTCGAACGGTGTTTAAGCGAGGCTCAATTGTCCAAAGATGACATACAAGCAGTTCTACTTGTCGGTGGAGCCACCCGAATACCCCGCATAGAGATAATGTTGAGTAATTACTTTGGGGAAACAAAAATCAATAAATCCCTGCATCCGGAGGAATCGGTTGCTCACGGTGCAGCTCTGTTAGCCGCCTACCTGAGCGGTAGGACCGACGCAGTGGNTATATTACCAAATTTCATGATGTGACTCCTCTTTCGTTTGGTATTGAGAATTATCAAGGGGAAATGGTTGTGATTTTCCCCAGAAATACTCAAGTACCGGATAGTAAAACAATGCTAATTGAAGGTTCACAGAGTAGGGAATTGTCCATTCGTCTGTACGAGGGAGAAGATCCCTTGGTGGAAAATAATTATTTTCTTGGCGAAGCTTGCATCAGTATACCTCCACCGTACACGAACATCACGGAAGTGACATTTTGTGTGGATCAAAATACAAACATATCACTTTATACAATCGATAAAGCCACCGGGCAGCGAATCGATGTGAAAATTCACGACGCGCGGAACCAGCTGTGTCGGCAGGATATTGACTATATTATTCAAAATTGCAAACGAAATCTAGCGGCCGACAAGAACGAAACAGAACGAATTGAAGAGAGGAATCGTTTGCGAGTGGACGTGCAGCGAATGATGCATGAAGCTCAAAAGCTTTTACACGACCGTAAAAATGATCTGCATTTTATTGAAACACAATGTGACATTGCCCTACACTGGATCAAACAATGTCCAAACTCATCGCTGAAGAAATACAAAGAAATACGATCAGAGCTGAAAAAAATGTTTCATAAATTTGGGATTTTCTTCGAATCTGGAACTGCATAAGTTGCAACCGGTTTGTTGGACCGCACATTGCACAATAGCTGTCACGAGTATTCGGTAACTCCCACACCGATGTGATATTGAATGGTTGTTGTGTTTCGCTACTGACGTACGATGTGAGAGAGCATCCGATCTGCATCAGGGGCTCTAGCACACACAATTTGAAAACCTGCTGAAGAGGAAAAAGAAGCTGGCGCATTAAATTCTGAACGGTTTCAAAACGTTTTCGATTATCAACGAATAAACTGGGTTGGTTATAAATTGAGCCTATCAAATATGAACATCTTGTGATTTTGAAGCGCCCAGGGTGCATTGCCTATTGGTAACTTATTATAATCCACAAGGTTAAATCTTCAGTCTGTTTTTCAATCAATTTACAAAGTTTTCTGTTACTTTGATTTCTTATCACTAAAATATGGAGCCAGTGAAGGTCCTTAACATGTTATGTTTGTAAGTGAATGGAAAAAGAGGATAAAATTGGTATGCACGGTTTTATATCCACTGTGATATTTAGGAGTAGCTGCATGATTGGGGCGTTTGTGCATGATGCTTGCGTTGAAAAATCAAGAGGACAGGTAGGTTAGAAACAATCCTTTGGCGACATGGACTGTTTTTCAAAACGAGAGCTACCTTGCGTCTTACGGAAACGGTTCCCTCAGTGTTACCGGAATTGTAAGCTGACTGAGTGCGAAAGTATCTGAAGGCAGAAAGCTTAGCGAGCGAAAGTGTAGCACCGAACTCGCGCACTGTTCGCAGAGAACAAACTTCGCCGGAACTGCCATTGATACAAACAAAGGTTTAAGATCTAACTGAAGAATTGATATCAGAATATTGGCGTAATCCATACTAAAGAGGGAGGAGAGCAGGAGCGTATGTTTCAGATACCCAATGTCTACTGCTATACATACGTGCAAAACAGGTAGACCAAATATGGCGGTAAATCTTGATTATGTTACACTGTCGGTCTGAAGACACTATAACCCCAGCGGGCAAAACCCATGGCAATGGCGGTAGAAGAAAGCTTGGGAGATTCGACGAAACGGTTGCATGAAGCAATGTAAAGTAAAATTACGAGTCAGGCGGTCGATAAAACGATGCGTTTCTCTTTGCACATTATAAAAGTAATGCGCAAAGGAATACAGAGCTCTGCCCAAAATTTGACTCAACTCTGAAGCTTGGAGCTCAGCGATGCGTTTTACTCAGGGCGTTAATGGAAAGGAGCAAATGGACTATTAATCTTGTGCATATTAGATAATACCAGCATTTTAATGGTGGTTTCAATGAGCGAAAAGAATTGCTGGTTATTTGTGCTATTTTTTAGGTGACGTATGGTCATAAAAGCAGTGTCATGTTGTATGTGACTCAGGTTATTGCAAACGTTCTAACTACATTGAAGCCTGATTAACCGATAAGATAATATACGACATGGATTTTAGGAGGTAACAAAAACAACGTATTTATTCAATTGCAACATAACCGCAAATAGACTCATCATGTTTTTGACGTCCGTAGGATGTACAGTGAGAGCGCGATCATACGTGAATTGCACAACTCACTTTGTGAAGAGATAAAATGGAAAGAGAATGTTTGGGAACCGGAATTCCTGCCACGCTTTCTGTTAGATAAACAAGCTATCTGTAGTTAAAGGGGCATCTTTAGACAGCCGAGCTTTTACCGATACTAAAGCATAAATAACTTTCAGAAATCACGTATACAGATGTGGAGCAATACTATTATTTCTATGAGTCCGCAAAAGGTTTTAACATATTTTATTGATTGAATTGATGTATGTGTGAGTACCACTCATTGAACGTAAACCGGGATGCAGAGTAACATAAATCGAAAAACCTCAAAACACTAAACAGCAAAATGCTTCGTACTTGAAACGTGTTCACTACTCACTGATTGCTTTGTTTCTGATGTTTAGCACACGGGTAAATCAAGGAATTGGAGTAAGTATGCGAAAAGTATTACGATTACCTGACTGATGTGAACAGTGACAAAGGTCAATGTGCAAGGGATCTACACCAGCCCGATGTGTGTATATGACGAGATTTACAACGAATAGATTCAACAGAGTTCCGTGGGATGTATGATATTGTGAGGGTTTTGGTCACTGGGTTCAAACCTCCGCAAATCTGTTAGGTTGACGAGGAAGAAGCACATTGCTGCAATATTGCTTGTCATTTCAACAAACTGATGAAGTTTGCCCAATATACTGTTTCACCAAAGACGCAACAAACAGCCGCTTGGCTTTCACTCAAGTTCAAACTATTCGCGATTATCGAGGCCTTCTAATTCGGATTACCCCCGTCCCGTTTTGTGCGCCTCAACTTTATAGACATAATTGGTTCACTTGCCGCGGATTTGACTTTTATCTTTAATTTCATCGTCTACTTTGGGTCTGCATATGTCCATTCACTAACTAGGATTCACCAACCCAATGGGCGGTGGTGGCCCGGTGGTAACGTCACCAAAATTATCACCATCGCCCGACTTTCCTCATTGTGCGTTGAACGGCAGTCCTTTGATTGGCCGCTTCCCTCTTCATGAAAATTGTATCATTCTATATTCAATAAAACAAAGTAAAGTGAATATATATATATATATCCCATTGAGGAGATCAAGTGAAATGTTAAAAGTTTGCTACAGGTGTCTTCTTTAGGTATTGGAGCGATGACTAAACAGGACTCAGTTTTTCTAGTTGTAACCGCTTGTGTTTCCAACTGAATCACTGCATTTGGCTTTTGCTTATTGATTTCACACGGCGTACATCGAGTGCCTTGGTGGTAGTTCCATGAAGGCTCTCACATTTACATGACTGGTCACGCAACGTGCACCAGATTAATTTACACACTTTCAAAACATTTCTCCAATTAGGAACGGTGTATAACAGTAATCATTTGGCACATGCAAGAGAACAAACTATCGAGTTTTATTAGAACAAAAAGCGATTTCACACTTAAGTGACTGTTCATTGACAAAAAACAGGTTATTAGCTAGTTACAGTCAGCTGACTATGATGCTACAAGGGTTGCGCATCATGGACTCATCAATCGGCTGATAGCGCGCGAACGGCTAGTTATAAATAAAGATAGGTTAACGTAGGCCTTTACCTATTTTTCGCCTTGTGCTCCATCGTATATTGATTTATCGTTAAATATAAATGAGATGCCGTGATGATTCTTGATATTCCTATGAATAACGCGTCTTATACCTATGCATCGCCGATGAATGACCTTGTAAACTACGATATCCATAATGGCTTTGATTTCGTCGTAGTTTTGTATCCAGCGTCAACCTCAGTATTCTGTACAGATCCAGGATATACTATTCAAATGCAGTTAGACAAATATAAAAGATTCTTCGTTGTAATTGTTTTAAACGAATGGATTGATCTCATTACTGGACTCAGCAATAATCGTCTTCCGAAGACGTTTCTCATTCAGATAGCAACTCTACAGCTGATGAAATCGGATAAAATTGGGCGCATGTAAAAATTCATTCGTGGTAAGAAAAAGCATGCTCATTTATGGGGAAGAGGAAAGGTATGTGAATGCAACTACACGAAGTTTGGTTGAATAAATCGTTTTGAACCATATTCATTGGCTTTCGGTTCCGACGATTCATCTAAAATTGGCTATCTTCCTTCTGGTTAGTTATCCTAAAACAAAGTTGGTTTTTTCGTGGGGCGGGCTGCGGACGCTGTTTTTCCGACAGGAATCTTTTGATCAATTTCGATAAGTTTATGATTATCGCATTCCATATTTGTATTATTAACCTTCATTTTACCTTGAGTTGCACAGTTATAGATCTATGTTGCCAATGAGTTGCTTTGCGTATTCAGAATTTGGACCCGTATTCCATGCATACATATGCACTAATATGCAACTAATATAATCCCACGCGGGATGGAAATTTTACGATGAAATGTAAATAGCCTTATGAGAGGATGTGACGACATTGACAAATACAGTTTAGTTTATGAAACATCGTAATATTTCAAAACAATCACTCAATTACAAACGTCGCTGGTCGAAGCGCTGCATTCAATTGACCTGGGCCTGAGAGAATTCAATTAACTGAAGATCAGTTCAGATCACAGGATTCCAGATAATTGCCAATACTGTCTAATTTCTTGTACCCGTCAACTCAGATACGACCCTACTAAAATTTGATCGTATGAGAGTCTCTCGATTATCTTCTCTGGGTTTCTGGATGCTGATCAAACTCAGATTCGAAGGGAGGTGTCGGAGTATTTGATAGCGGGTATTGTAGTGATAAAGATATTACGCATATTAAAAAGAAAAAGAATGGTACACAGAACGATCTCAACTGGTCTTCATTCGACTGCTTGAGAGTTCCTGTTCTCCGTATAACGATCCCGGTTGATGATACATGGGGGATCGATGCGACAATGAGTGGTTCGTTTAACGACACCTAGTTAACATACACCATGCTTCAGCAGCACTCCGAAAACACGTACGTTACCTACGTCTAAACTTTGTACTGTGTTGCAAAATCTTCTAATTGCTAAAAAGATGTATATTTATGACGAATAAAAGTGTTTAGGAAAGCAAGACACTACAACGCAAGCAGGCCGTGATGCAAAAAGGGTCCATGACTGCACCAGTTTCTATGTAGAGGTTCAATATTCAGTAGCGAATGAGCAAAAGAGATAAATGTAGGATTTGAGGGTGCATGATTTGTCTCTCATCAGTTACGGAAGCAATCTGTTTTTCTAGTAAGAAGGAATAAAGTACTCACAAGATAAAGATGTAAGCTTGGAATATGGAGCCCTTATAGCCACATGTGGCTTACTGTACACCAATCACTCTAAATCATCCATACCATGCTCAAAGCTGACCCCGTGTGCTTCTGTAATCATTTATTTAGGAGGTTATTCCATATGTCCGCTACGCTATTTGTGACGAATTTCGCACGAATATCCAACCCAAATCGTTCTTTTATTATTATTATTATTATTATTATTATTATTATTG